TTGTGGGAGGATGCGATACCGTGTTTACCTACCCGCCATCCTGACCAGAAGTTCTGAAAGCTTTTATAAGGAATTCCTTCTAAATCCTTTGAAATCTAATTCCTGGAACTTCTCATTTTCCTAGAGTTAATAAGAATGTATCCCATAAATGGTAAATATCTTCAAAGTTTTGATAGATTTATGCATCAAGGATGGGTTCTAGATGGAGGAGTGATCAAACTTCCAGTTCAGGAATATGCCCTGCCTGCAGGAGAACGAAGGAACGATAAGAACAAGAGTGTGAGCCCAGCTGGTGTGGCTCAGTGGTTGTCACCCCATGCAGCAGGAGGTCACCGGTTCATTTCCCGGTCAGGGCACATGCCTGGGTTGTGGGCCGAATCCCCAGTGGGGGACGTGCAGGAGGCGGCCAATCCATATTCTCTCTCACATCAGTTTCTATCTTTCTCTCCTTCTCCCTTTCTCTCTCTCTAAAATCAATAAAGAAAAATTATTTTTTAAATAAAGAACAAGAGCTCTGGCCGGTTTGACTCAGCAGTTAGAGTGTCAGCCAGCGGACCAGAGAGTCCCTGGTTCGGTTCCCACTAAGGGCACGTACCTCAGTTGCAGTTTGTCCCCAGCCCTGGTTGGGGTCGTGTGGGTGGCAACCACTCGATGTGTCTCTCTCACATCTATGTTTCTCTCTCTCTTCCTACCTCTCTCCCTCCTGCTCTATCTGAAGATAAAAATGCAAACGTGTCCTCGGGTGATGATTAAAAAAATAAAAATAAAAAAAGAACAAGAGTGGAGGCTGGAGCAGTGTGGGGTGAGTGGGGGGTGGATCTGCAGTAACTTGCTAAGGAGTTAAGGCTCAAAGGATGGGCAGTAGGGGCGGAGGGAGGACACAGGGATGGTCCCAGTCCCATGCTTGGATGCTTGGATGGGTGTTGGTGCCTTTGTTGAGCCAGGAATGTGGGAGGAGAGGCTGGGTGTTTAGAAGGAGATACTGAACTCAGGCTGAGTTTCAAAGTTCTCCCAGCATCTAGCATAGTGCCTGCCAGACAAGAAGTTCTCAATATATAACTGTGGAGTGAATGAGTGAATGAATGAATGAATGAGGTCCCACGGCCTTCATAGCTTCATAATTGAAGAAAATGCCCTCTGTCCCCACTTCCTTCCCCTCCCACCTGAGTCCTAGCTCCTGGGGCCCCAGCCAGGATGACTTTGCCAAAGCATTACTCTAGTACCTGAAGCTTTCTTTGCACAGAAGCATCAGTTATGGCCCCAAACCCCAGGGGTGGGTGGCCTGGCCTCTCCATCCCTCCTACTATCCCTCTTCCCTGGAGTGGCTTCACTCTAGCAGACATCCACAATGCCTGGCCCTGAAAAACCCCAGGTCCAGCCCCACCCAGGATGCAAAGTGTTCTCAGGGCCACCCCTACAGGGTGCTGCAGAGGATAAGACACTGAGGATACCTGGGGGGTGCCTCTTTGTTTCCCTGCCTGAAGGTTCCACATGCATCCCTGCGGGGGGGAAGGTTGCCCCTGCCGCAGCCCTCTGCTCAGAGAGGGCTGTGGGAAGGATAGGACCCAGCCTGAGCTGGGCAGGAACCAGGTCTCGGCTGGGCACCCAGGGCAGGACTGGGACTGGGAGAGGCAATGAAGGGACAGGCGGTCCTGTCCTGAGAGAAGCTGAAGGACCAAGAGGCTGAGACCCAGAGAACAGAACCCAGGGAGGTCATGAGGGCTGCTTCCCATGAGGCCATGGCTAGGGGCCAGCCCAGCAGGCACTTGGTCCCTGGGCCCCTCAACTGGTTGCCCGACGGAGTCTCGAAAGTGGTAATGCCCCTGGCCAGGATCCAACCCCTGGACTCCAGGCCTTCCAGGACAGTGTTGACTGGGGAGGGGGCAGGAAATAGACCGAGATCTCCCTGGATGGCCCTGGGGAAGCCAAGGAGGGGGGTGAGGACGCAGGCTGTGCTCCCAGACCACAGGACTCCATCACAGACCCTCACACCCACAGGAGCCTGGACCGTCTGCCCACGAGATCCACCACCACACTGGGATCTCCCTCCTCTCCTCTCCTCCTGCCTTGCTCCCTTGACTTCGGTTTCCATGCGCTGCCTTCCTTGTTAGACTGTGAGCTCCCAGAGGGCAGGCAGCCTGACCCTCCCTGGGTACCAAGGAGTTTTCAAATAGGAAGCACAGGGACTGGGTAGGTTCATGAAGAGGGTCAGAGGCAGGCCTCAGTTTCCCACCTTTGCCCAAGCCAGCCAAGCATCGACCAGAGGTCCAAGGGCCTGAGGTAGAGTGGAGGAGGTAAGAGAGTAGAAGAGCAATAACGGGAGGTAGGGTCCCTGCTGGGGGGAGGAAACAGGAAGGACGGAATGAGGTGGGCCCTGTCTGAAGCAACCCTCAGCCCTCCGTGTGGCACCGACAGTGGTCGCAGCGCTCTGTCCCCATCTGCTCTTACAGGAGCCGTTTCCTGCTCCTAGACACCACCCAGGCACACGTGACTGCACACTCCTGGGCCGTGGGTGCCTCTCCTCTGGTCCCAGTGCCTGATGCTGACCTGGGGCCACAGAAGAGGTACTAAAAGGAAGAGGGACAGGGAGCCACCCCTGAATGCCAGAGGCAAGCAGAGGAAGCTGGGAAGCAGGGTTCCTGACTCAACTTGGGACACCTGTCGGCACACACAGTGCCTCGGCTCCAGGCGTCAGTGTTGGGCTGATGGTAGCCTAGGAGGCCTCCCCACCCACCAGAGTCCAAAGAGCACAGGTGTGGCCTCATCACGGTTCGGCCCGCCTGCTGGGCCAGGGCCTGCCCCATCGCCTGTCTAATAGGGCCTCTGCCTGTGGCACTGGAAGAGAGGACGCGGCCTTCCTTCCACGGGCGCCAGCCCCACAACAGCCCCCTCAGGGGACCAGCCACCAGGCCTCACTGGAAGCCAGGTAAGGCCCGGGGTTCAGGAAGCTCAGGGCCCTGATAGCTGCAGGGGACCCCTGGGTGGTGGGGGCTGCTCAGTGACTTCCCAGGCCAGGGTCTCCAGCCCACTCCTAGATGCAGCCAGGAGGAGCGTCCCCACGAAGGGCCTGGGACTCAGCCGTTGCCTGGCTGGCTGGGAAGAAGGCAAGAGAGCCAGAGCTCCAGAAGTTTCTCCCAGTGGTCATGATGTAGACAGCCCTTCCCTACTCCAAGCCCCTAAACTCAGGGGTAAGTGGGGGAAACTAGACTACCATAGCCCCTCCCCCTCTAGGCACAAGACGGACCAGAGCTGCCTCGTCCCCTCTCCTATTGTCGGGGTCTTGAGCTACGGAGCTTCAGCGGGGACCCAGGGGGATCCGGGGGACCCACAGACTATTCTGGCGTGGAGGGGACAGGTGCGGGGTGTTGACCATGGCAGAGCTTATTTTCTCTTCTTGCTCTTCTGTATCTAGAAGCAGGAAACGCTGCAGCTGGGGGAAGGGTGTGGCTGAGAGAGGGGGCACAGGCTTCTAGAACCCCTTACCCTTGGGGAGGAAAGGGGTGCTCCCACACAGGAGCAGAGGCCCAGCGCCGCCTCCACAATGCCTTCACTGTTTGCTAGCAACTCATCTCCCCACACTGAGTCATCCTATCAGATCCTCAGATATTTTCATAACAGTCCCAATAAATAGGGGTGTGGGACGCTCTCTGATACTTTGCCCAGGATACTCCAGGGCTTCTGTACGACACAGGCATACCTCATAGATGCACGGACACCCACAAACCTGATACGTCTTCATGATGCCTCATTCAAACAACACATACCCTTGACCTACAACCCAGCCTGCACGAACAAACACACACACATACCGTCACCCATTTCAACGTCTCTGTTTTCCAGGACCCTTGCTGGAAAGACACTCGGGAGACAGCAGGGGCAAGATCAGTCTGTCCTCAGACGCTCACAGCCCAGTGACAGAGGCACACATACGGACAACTCCAGCATGGAGTTGGCAGCCAGGCAGGGCTGGGTCCATTCTCTATGGAATACCCACTTGAAACCTCGGGCCTATTACCCTTTTTGCGCCCCAGTGTCCTTATCTGATAAATGAGATAATAACAGAACCACCAAGTGAGGACATTTTGAGGATAAAACAAGCTGATGAAAGTAAAGTCCATAGAGCAGTGCTGGGCACAGGGAAGTACAGGCGATCGTAGCGAGAATCCGATAACATGTTCCTCGGGGCCTTGGCACCAGCTCGCAGCACTAACTGGGTGGCTTCTGTTGTTAGAGGAACAGACAAGGGTCTGTCTGGGTGGCATTAGGAGGGCACTCTAGGAAGGATGAAGTGGACTAGTCAAGGAGGGCTTCACTGAGGAGGTGATCCTTGAGCTGAAATTTAGGGTTGAGGGGGAGGGGCTCTGGGCAGAGGGTTCAGAGTATGGAAAGACAAAAAGAAAGGAGACTCCGTAAGACATATGGGGGAATGCAGATCCCCATAAATGTGCATGCCATGTGCTCACGTGCGCACACACCCCTCCTAAGCGGTCCCCAAGCTGAAGAGCCGACATTGACCTCCCAACTTGCAGAGCTGAAACAGGCTTAGAGAGAGGCTTGCTTTGGCAGGAAGGTGGCTAAGCCTAATTCCTTGCCCCAGAAGCTGGGGGCAGCCCACCCCTCTGGCATCTTTCACACTATGGCCAAGGATAGGATCTGATCCCAGGTCCCTGTCCACCCAGCCTTCCTGGGCCCATTGAAATGAGCTTTACTGACCAAATAATGGAGGCCAGGAGCCTGCCTGGGATCTCCCAGGCCCAGCCAAGATGGGGGCTCCTCTAGGGAGGCATGGCTGGGGACAGCTCTGGAAAGGCCCCAGGCCAGGGCTTTGGGTCTGGTCTCAGAGGCCCCAGGTGCGAGTCTGGTGCAGGCCTCAGGCTGGATCAAGGACCAGGTGAAGGATCAGCATCCGGCCCCGCTCTGCCCTGGGGTTTCTCTCCCCAGCTGATGGCTGTCCCTTTGGCTCAGTTTCGATCCTAGGGAGTCATCTCAGCAGCGTCACCATGTCCCGGCCCAGCAGCAAAGCCATTTACAGTAAGCTCTCCCTCTGGTCTCCTCTCCCTGGCCCTCCCCCTGAGTTCTCTGAACCCCAGCCCTCCCCATCTCTCCATCATTCCCATGCTGCCCACCCCCTGCATTTGCCTGTGTCTCACCTGGTTTTTCTGCACCCCTTACATTGTGGCCCACAGTGCACCGGAAAGAGTACTCACACAACCTGGGCTCAGAGCCCACCTGCCTGCAGCACAGGGTGGAGGTGAGTAACGGGGCCCAGATGGTTTCCTCACTCAACCCAAGTGCCCTGTGTGCCCAGCACCTTGCGCTGCCCCAGAGCAGACATTCAGATAAGTCCTGCCATGGAAGCCAACAGCCAGATCAGCTGGGCTTGGGTCCCACAGACTAACTGAGCATCAACTAAGTGCTGGGGAGGCCCGGGCAGCTGGGCATCAAGAGGGAGGCCAGACTGGAGGTTGAACAGGAAGATGTCCTACCGGTAGGCAGGAATAAGCAGTGGAGGCTTGGGTCAGGAGGCACGCGCAACCCCACCCCCACCTTTCTCCAGACCCACCTCCTGCCACACCCGCTGGTCCCCAGGGAACTACTCTTTGCCCTGGATCTGGCAGGTGGGAAGAGGGAATGTGTGAGGTCAGCAGTCCCTGCACGGGAAGTGTCTGGGCTTGAGCTCCCAGGCATGAGCTGCTTGGAGGTTCTGGCCCTGCCTGGGAGGAAGACACTGGCACTGTGACATCTGCTGCCTGAAGGGCTGTGGACACAACTGGCACAGCACAGACTAGAGGACATGGGGAAGAGCAAATACCTGGGCACAGCAGACTCGGGGCTGTCCTGGAGAAAGAGGGGTCCTGGGGGGACAGTCTGGAGGTTCCCAGGGCAGCAGATAGGGCTCTCCCTGGGCTTGGGACGCGGGGTCCTGGGATTCATGGCAGGGGTGTGGGTTGGGAACTGCCTTCACATAGACCCAGCAGGTGAGAGCAAGAGGAGGCATGTCCAGGATGCCAGGGTGTTTGCTCATGATGCCAGGGGCCCCAGAACATGCCAGCAACTCCTCCAGGAGAGGAGCTGGGACCTGTGCAGAGAGCAGGGCGATGGGATCAGGGGCAGAAGGCAGATGGCCCTCCCCCAACAAGGGCCTGGAGGGGACGGTGAGGGGCAAGACTGTGACTTGTGAAGGCTGCATGTAGATGGGAAGAGGAGTCTCTTCGAGGAGGGAGAATAGCAGCAAAGACCTGTCAGGTGAACAGACCAGCTGAGTGAAGGGCCCGAGCGGAGCCTGAGATCAATACAGACCTCACTGGGCAAGAATCAGGGAGAAGGTGGGGCCTGGTCTTCTTCCCAAGGCCCTGGGAGGTGCTGGATGAGCAGAAGTGGGAAGGGATATGGGCACCAGCATGAGCAGAGACCTGGAGACAGCAATGCTAGGTCAGTGAGGACCAGGCTGGGACAGTGGATTCCCAAAGGAACAAAGGCAGCCAGGGACAGAATTTGAGGGTCCTATGTCCCACCAGAGCAGTGCACACTTTATCTGTTGCACGGCTAGAGCCCGCACCTACCGCCATCCCGCGCCTCGGCTGGCCTGGACTGCTAAAGGCCGTGTCCTTCCTCCGGAGCCCTAAACCCCACCGTGCAGCCCGTCAGACTCCGTCTGGGGGCCCATCCTAGCCAGCTCTGGCCTTCACACTGGCCCTTGACGGCAGCTTTGTGGGAAGCCTTCCTTTCCCTGACCCTGTCCACCCCACCCCCGGGCCCCCCCCAAACCTGTTCCCAGTCCTGGGCCTCTTCCTCTCCTCTCAGCACCTGATGACATGTAAGCTGGGGACTCAGAGAGTCCGGGAGCCCAAGGACGCCATGCAGAAGCTGCAGGAGCTGGACGCTCAGGGCCGTGTGTGGAGCCAGAACCTGCTCCTGCAGGTCAGAGATGGCTGGCTCCAGCTACTGGACATCGAATCCAAGGTCAGCCCTCCCACCACACCCCGTGATGGTCATAGCTAGCCCACCCTGTGGAAAAGCAAGCACCGGGCATAAGCTCCACACCACCCCCCCATGCCCCAAACAGCAGCCAGCCCTCCCCATGTGCAATGCACATCCAGGCCTAGAAAGAAACTGGTCAGAGGCCCAGGGGTCAGGGGAGCTAATACTCCAGCCTCAGGCCACTGGAGGGCTGGGGCGTCCCAGGTCAGGAACTCCCAGGAGCCACCCTGGCTCTCAGTGACCTCACAGCCGACCTTTCCACCTGACCCAGGAGGTGCTGGACTCTTACCGCCTGGACAGCATCCAGGCCCTGGACGTGGTGCTCAACTCCTGCTCCTACAACTCCGTCCTGTCCATCACCGTGCAGGAGCCGGGCCTGCCAGGCAGCAGCACTCTGCTCTTTCAGTGCCAGGAAGTGGGAGTGAGTGGCCAGGGGTGGGGTCGAGAAGAGGGGGCGGCCAATGACCATCACTCTCCCCCAAACACACACACAGCCTGCCTAACTGCTGCTTCCTCCAGGCAGAGCAACTGAGGACCAGCCTGCAGAAGGCCCTGAAGGAGGAGCTGGAGCACAGGTAGGCAGCCTCTGCCCAGCCCGCCGCAGGATCTCAGAGCTTGGGCCTGGCTGGCCAGACCCTGGCCCCACATCTGGGTAAGCCCAGGAGCCTGTAGCTCAAGGAACCGGGGCCTGGAGCTGGGGAGGGGCCAGGCCAGAACCAAAGTGTAGATGGGCCGGGGCCAGGCCCAGGTAACACCAGAGACTGTCCCTGGAGCCTGACAAGGTACCTGAGAGAGCTCAGAGGCAGGCAGATGAGGCAAGGTGAGTCAGGGAAGGTTCCAGATGGACACCTGGAGGAAAGTGTGGGCAGAGCCTCTGTCCCAAGAACACTGTCAAACCTGTGTCCCCACCCTGTTTTCAACAGACCCCGATATGGAGACCTTCCCCAGGACAGATGGAGGGGGGCTCCTCTGGAAATGCCACTGCCCCTGGAGCAGGGCCCCCCTCCAGAACAGCCCCACTGGGTGGCCACAGAGCACAGTAAGTTTGGGGTGTGGGGACAGGTGGGAGAAGGTCTAGATCAAAGATCAAAGAGGCCATGGTCTTCTTACACTGCAGACATACCACCATCCCCAAGGCCCCTGCTGCGACACTCCAGTGCCCGAGAACCAAGCACCTTCCCCCTGACTCCTCCAAGGCAGCCCCCGCCCCCGGAGGACCCAGCGAGGGACGAGGTAACTGCAGACTGTCGGGCTAGCCGAGCTTCCTGAGCTGGGTGAAAGGGAAGATGCCGACCCCTCCCCTCCCCCTAGGAAACCAGGTCCCAGGATGGCCAAGGCAGGCCTGGTGTGAAAAGGGACGAGGAGGCTCCGGCAGGGGCGGGGTGGGGAGTTCCAGGCTGGGCCTGATTGCCTGCTCAAGGCCCAAAGCTCTCTGTGGTCCAGGAGGTGCTGAACCACATCCTAAGAGACATTGAAGTATTCGTGGGACAGCTGAAGAAGGCCCAGGCCAACCCCAGTCTGAAGAAGAAGAAGAAGAGACAGGACATGAAAAAGTACATGGATCAGCAGGGTGAGTGCTGAGGGCCAAGGGAGAGGAGTGGGGGTCTTGGGATAATCTGTGACCCATGGGCTTCTCCCCTTCCCCCATAGGGGTGATACGGGCCCAGTACTTCGATTGCTTCCAGAAGTTCAAGTACAGCTTCAACCTCCTGGTGTGTAGCTCCCCACAAGTTCCCCAGCCCTTCCTTGAACCACCACTTCTAGTACCCCCTCTTCTCTGGTTTCATAGGCATCCCAGGCTCCTCCAGCTTCTCCCCCGGGACCTCCCCTGCCCCCTCAGGACTTTCGGAGAGTGTCAGGCTCCCAACCAAGGCCAAGAACAATAATGGGCCCTGGGGTCCTGGTGAAGGTGTGATGGGATAAAGGGTGGTGACAGTGTCCCCGTGTGTCCGCAGGGGAGGCTGGCCGTCCATCTGCAGAATCCCAGTGCCGCTGAGCTGCTGCACATTCTCTTCCATACTCTGGGCTTCGTGAGTTGGGGGAAGACAGGGTGGTGAAGGGGTGAGAACTGAAATGTAGACAAAGCAGAGGCCAGGGTGGTGGGCACACCGTCCCCTAGAGGCCTGGGGTCGGAGCCAAGGACGGCAGGGCTCGGGGGGAGCCGGGAGGGAGCAGCAGCCCGAGGCGGCGTGGCCTTGCAGAAGTGGCACAGGGACTCGGGGCTCTTCCCACTCCAGCTGGGCCCTGCAGGAACCTGGGTCTCCGGACACCTTCCATCCTTCCTGTAGGTCCTAACCCAGTGCCCTGAGCAGGACCTAGCAGCCCAAGTGATCTCACCCCTCCTCACCCCCGAAGCAGTCAGCACACTGCAGTGCTACCTGAGCCCACCTGACAGCAAACTCTGGAAGAGCCTCGGCGTGGCCTGGACCACCAGCCAGTGAGTGAAGACAAGGCCTGAACTGAACTTAGGGAAGGGCACATGCGGGCAGAGGGTAGGACACTGGATGTGGCAAGCTCTGTGCTGTCATAAATTAGAAACATCTCAGGACAAATTGGCAGACTGATGGAGTCCCAACTCTATGTTAGATTAAGTACAAACAATTTCTTCTTCTTTTTTTTTTTTTTTTTAATTTTTTTTTTTTTCCTCACCCGAGGACATTTTTTGTTCAGGTACAGTGGGAGGGAGAGAGAGGAAGAGAGAGAGAGAGAAAGAAACATCGACGTGAAAGGGACACATCGAGCGGCTGCCACCCGCACGACCGACCATGGCCGGGGACAAACTGCAACCAAGGTACATGCCCCCAGCGGGAACCGAACCCGGGTCTCTCAGGACCGCAGGCTGATGCTCTAACCGCTGAGCCAAACCGGCCAGGGCCAAACAATTTCTTCTTAAAACCACCACTTGCCATCACCCACCACTGAAGGAAAGGCATTCTCTCAGAAAAAAAAAAAAAAAAAATTCTTCCCAAGAACATAGAGTTGGCAACCTTCTACTAAAATATGTTCTCATTTTCGTCAAGGACAAAGTGAAAACTTTGTCTCAATCTGGCCCAGAATTTAAGAATTCCTGCTGGAAGAGAGGCTGCAAATGTAACACCTGTAAGACTTGGCAACCAACTGGCCGGGGAGTTAAGAGCAAAAGTGAGCCCTGGCCAAGTCGGAGAGCTTAGAGCATCGGCCCTTGGACCAAAGGGTCTCAGGTTCAATTCCCAGTCAAGGCCACATACCTGGGTTGCAGGTTCAATCCCCGGCCCCGGTTGGGGTGGTATGGGAGGCAACCAATCGATACATCTCTCTCACGTCAATGTTTCTCTCTCTCCCCCTCCCTCCCTTCCACTCTACCTAAAAATATCAATAGAAAAAAATATATATATCCTTAGGTGAGGATTAAAACAACAACAAAAAAAAGTGAGATTGCATGTCCATGTAACCATGAGATGGGTAGTTGGACAAGGCCAATGCGATGAGAGCCATGGGGAGTGGGGGATAAAAGCAGCTTGGATGTGCTGAGCTGAGGTATCAGTGGGACCTTCCCCAGCGACAGGGTGGCCCAGCCCTCAGGTAAGAGGTCCAAGCTGGCTATGTGGGTTTGAGAACAGTCAGTAGAGAAATGATGGTTGGTGCCACCTAGAGGTAAGCACTCCAGTGGGCAGCCCTGGAGCTGACCTAAGAAACAAGGTTGCTCTGTCCCATGAGAGAAGGGAAACTTCTGTGTATAGCTGGAAAAAGGAAAGGGGGTTAAGGAAGCAAAGAGAAATTCCTGAAAGTTAAAAGAAGAAACAATCCCAGTCAGTGTGACTCAGTGGATTGAGTGCTGGCCCATGGACTGAGAGGTCCCAGTTTGATTCCCAGTCAGGGCACATGCCCTGGTTGTGGACTCGATCCCCAGTAGGAGGTGTGCATGAGGCAGTTGATCAATGTTTCTCTCTCACATCAATGTTTCTCTCTCTCTCTCCATTCCTCTCTCTCTAAAAGAGAGAGAGAGAGAGAGAGAGAGAGAGAGAGAGAAATATCAATAAAAACAAAGAAGAAGGAACAAAAAAGTAGAGGCATAAAAACCAAGGGAGACGAGAATTTTAGAAAGAGAAGCCAACCAGGAAATAAGCCTAGTATCTTGCCCAGTGAGCAGTTCCTTTCAATTCATCCCCATTAAAGGGTTTGTTGTTCAACTCATCCAATGACATAAATTATCATTCGATGTAATCTATCTCTTTAATTGTGATAAAATTTACCTTTTTTTTTTTGTTATCCTCACCCGAGGACATTTTTCCATTTTTTGTACAGATAGAGTGGGAGGGAGAGAGAGGAAGAGAGAGAGAGAGAGAGAAACATCGACGTGAAAGGGACACATCGAGTGGCTGCCACCCACACCACCAACCAGGGCCGGGGACAAACTGCAACCGAGGTACATGCCCTTAGTGGGAACCGAACCCGGGTCTCTCCGGACCGCAGGCCAACGCTCTAACCGCTGAGCCAAACTGGCCAGGGCTACCATTTTAATATTTTAAGAGTATAATTAAATGGCATTAAGTACTTAACAATGTTGGGCAACCATCATCACTATCCTTTTCTAGAACTTTTCATCATCCCAAACAGAAACTCTGTACCCTTTCAGCAGTTAACAAAACTCCGTACGGATTCCTCCCTCTCCCCAGCCTCCAGTCATCTCCTGCTACTTTCTGACTATTTTTCATTTTAAATATAAAATTAGGTCCGATGTGCCCTGAAATGTGTCCTGATTTCTTAAAATAACAAGAAATTAGTGAATGAATGAATTGAAAGACAAAAATACAGAAAATAGGCTAAAGAGGATGTAAAAAAAAATAAACCCTTAAAAGAGTTGAATTTCAGGCAAATTATATTTAGGTGACTTGATTTGAGGCAAATTGACCCAAAGCTATAAATAATGCCCAATGCTGTGGTCCAGAAGGGTTTGGATCATAGAAGCCCATTGAATATGGCAATCAGAAGATGATCGGGACTTTAGGAAAAACTTGTTTCAGTAGAGTAATGGCAGAGGTAAAAACCAGTTGCAAGGAGTAATAAAAAAAAAAAAAACCAGGGGAAAGAAATGTTGTAAAGATAAGGTAATAGGACAGCTTAAAAGCACTAGTAACAGGGTCAAGACAAGACCTGGGCATGTTTTTAGGGCAAAGAGAAGGAACTGTTTAAAAAACTTCACACCCCGACTGGTTTGGCTCCACAGTTAGAGCACTGCGGACTGAAGGGTTGCTGGTTTGATCCCCAACCGGGTCCGGGTCATGCAGGAGGCAACCAATCAATGTGTCTCTCTCACATCAATGTTTCTCCCTCCCTCCCTCCCTCCCTCCCTCCACTCTATTTTTAAAAAGCAGTGGGAAAATGTCCTTGGGTGAGGACTAACAAAAATAAATAAATAAGTAAATAAATAGCCCTGGCTGGTTTGGCTCAGCAGTTACAGCTTTGGCCTGTGGTCCAGAGAGACCCGGGTTCAGTTCCCGCTAAGGGCACGTACCTTGGTTGCAGTTTGTCCCCGGCCCTGGTTGGGTCGTGCGGGTGGCAGCCACTCGATGTGTCCCCTTCACGTCGATGTTTCTCTCTCTCTCTCTCTCCCTCCCACTCTATCTGAACAAAAAATGGAAAAATGTCCTTGGGTGAGGATAACAAATAAATAAATAAATAAATAAATAAATAAATAAATAAATAAATAAATAAATAAATTCAGAAAAGAGAACAGTTTATTTGTTCCCACTGAATAAATATTTGTTAGCCGCTGCCTATGGACCCTCCACTGAACTCAGAATAAGAGCTCTCAAGGGACATGTGAGTTGTGTGCAGTACAGTGTGAGAGAAGCAATAACCCTGGGTGGCCCAGTTCCGTGACAGTGCAGAAGAGGAAATACGCACCTCTCCCCCCAACTTAATTTGAATCTCCAATCAGTGCAGCCAAGTGCCCAGCGTGTTCTTGTGGAGTTAATATATCTGAACTTCACGGGCAGAGGTGAAGCTGGCCACAGATCCCTGCACTGTGGGGTGTGTTCTTTGCTTCTTTGTGGGTGTTCTGGGGCCTTTTCATCTGGGCTGTGTCCTCCATCACCTAGGAGACCTCAAGGCTACCTCAGTCTAGTCCTCCATCCACATCCCACAGCCTGGCACTGAGTGGACTCAGCTTGGTTCTCTCCCCAGGAACAACTGGACAGGCCATGAGCCCCCACCCTACCAACCCACGTTCTATGATGGTTGGCAGCTTCCAGAACCTTCCAACCAGGTAAGGGAAGCTTAGCACAAAGCTCTACTCAAAGCCCTGGTCTCTGGCTAGTTTCTGCCTTCTCAGTCCAAACCATGGTTCCATGGCAACTGGGTATCCATATCTGGGTGGTGGGCAGGCAGGCAAGGGGACGTGAGGTAGCTGTGTGAGTTATCTGTGGTCTGATGCCAGCTCCCTGCCTCCACGGGGGCTGATGCCCTATCCTCACTCACTCTGTTCTGCCCCCACAGACGCCCTCAGGATATCAGGACTCTGCTTCCCTCCAGTAAGCATGGGGCTTAGTCGGGACCATATGGTTATGGGGAGGGTGAAGCGGGGCCGACCCTGTGGACCTGTGGATGCTACATGTCAGAGACCCTCTGGGCTCTCTTTTAGCCAGAGATATACATGTACAAGCACATCCCTCCCCCACCTTGGGTGAAGAGCAGGTTTTTACCTTCCCAGGCTTCAGTCCCTCTTCTGCCCATCCCTGCGCTCTGGGACACAGGGCTCAGAGGAGAGCCCAGATATAGGAAGGTCCACCGCTGAGTCTTCCGAGATCAGCCACATTTCAGACCCTGCTGCCTGCAGAAAGCTCCCTAAGCCCCACTGACACTGACCTGTCATTAAACTGTGGAAACCTAAGAGTCACCTCCAGACTCCAGGTGGGAGACAGCTGGGGCTCTGGGGCTGGGCCGGGGGCTCCATTTGGAGGCCTATTCTCCAGCCATCCGGACTCTCTCTGAGGGTGAGGCAGAACTGCTAGGTCAGAGAGCACCTCATGCTTGGCCCAAGAGGAGACATAATCATGGCCCTAAGTGTGGGACTTCAACCTTGTTCCCTTTACCCCAAGATCTGTCGCGTCAACCCTGAAAATGCAAGTCTTATATGAGTTTGAAGCTAGGAACGCAAAGGAGCTGACTGTGGTCCCAGGAGAGGTGCTGGAGGTGAGGCAGGGGCTTGAACCTAGAAAAGGAGGGGGTGGTTGGTGGGAGCTACAGGCAGCCTGGGGTGGGTGGTGCAGAGGTGGGGCTGCTGAGGTGGGTGGCCTACAGAGGGAGAAGGAAAGTGGGGAAGGGCCGGAAGTGATGTGGGTAGGGGGAGACCGGCCGGCAGAGGCTCATGTGACTGAGGGTGACTCTTGACAGGTTCTGGACCACAGCAAGCGGTGGTGGCTGGTGAAGAATGGGATTGGAAAGAGTGGCTACGTTCCCAGCAACATCCTGGAGCCCCTACAGTCAGGGAGGCCCGGGAGCCAAAGCCAGTTGGCCCCTCAGGTACTACTTAGCCTGAACTATCCAGAGCTCTGAGGCCTGAGTCCGGGGTGGGGGTAGGGAGGAGTCAATGACAAGCGGAGAAGGTGGTCCTGGTTTGATTTTATCTGTATTATCACATGCTTACCGTGTGCCAAGTTTGTCATGGAACCAGAGCAGAGACTAAGCCTGGCCTCTGTCAGACAAGCAAACCATGGAATGACCTAGTAATCTGATGGCAGCCCAGAGAAGGGACCCAGATGATGGGGGATATGGGTGGCTCTGAGAGGAGACGACCTCTGACTCCTAGTGCCCCCAATTCTAGGCTCCAGTGCTTCGACTTAGCTCAAGGCCCGAGGAGGTCACAGCCTGGCTGCAAGCAGAGAAATTCTCCACCATGTGAGTGCCTAGCCCCACGGGGTGTGTTGGGAGAACCTTTCTGAAGGGTTCAGACAGTAACCAAGGAAACTCAGAGCCCCAGAACATACCAGCTGCCCAACACAGTACCTAGGAGGTACCCACATGGTACATGACCCTCGCAGTTGCTGCCCTGTCACAGCACAGCCTCCACCGAGTTAGACAGCAGAGGAGGGCTGTGTTCGTGCCTCCATTAGAGCGCTGAGTGGGGACCCCCTTGCCATGGGGAAGGTGGCAGGATCAGGGAACTAAGGAAGAACCTCGGCTGCCACCCCCCCATACTCCCACAAGATTCTCTTCCAGGGCACCTCTCCCTTCCAACCCAGGAGTTCTGAAATTGGTTTAAGCAAATGTGTGTATCTTACTCCTTCACCTATTACCCTTCACCTATCACCAGATACCCTATTCCATGAATTCTCCTGTAACTCCAGCCTCCAAGCCCAAACAGCTCATTCTCTACCCAAAGAATCGGGCCCAAGTCCTTCTGCCCCACCACTGACAGCTTTTCTGTCTTTGTTCCCAGAACGGTGAAGACCCTTGGGTCCCTGATGGGGACCCAGCTGCTTTACATGAGCCCGGGGGAACTACAGATGCTGTGTCCACAGGAGGCCTCACGGGTTGTAGCACGGCTGGAGGCCATGAGAAGGATGCTGGGGGTGAGGACACCCTGGAGTCCTAACTCCCATTGGAAATGTGGGGTGATCCCTGGGTGACAGTGACAGTGCCGGGTAGGCAAGCCAGCCGGCCCAGCCCTGGAGTGGAACTGAGTATGCTCAGGCAGGCCTGGAGGCTCCGAGCTGAGTGTTAGCATGAGCTCTGGGGGTCCCTTCCCTGGCACCAGCTTCATTGCCATCCTTCTTTCCTCAGATAAGTCCTTAGGCACCAACTCAGACATCTCCAAGACCAAGGCCACCTCACAGCAAGATGGAAGATCTGATCCTCTTTAGAGCCCCAATAATTCCTCTTTCAGGTCTCCAGTTTGCAGTGAACCCCACACCCAGCTCACATAGCAGAGGACGAGCAAGTCCAAAGGTTGGGCGAATGGTGCTCCCTCTTGCTGTGTTGGGAGCCCTCTCCAGTTACCATCTATTTATTGTCTCCGTCCTAAGCCTGGAGCACGTATGCCTAGATTTGTCAGGATTCTGTTTAGCCCTCTCCTCCTCAATAAAAGCATCTTCAAGCTTGGCGTGTGCCTCCTTTGCAGCTTCTTCTGGGCCTGATGGGGGCCAAAGGCAGGGAGGCAGGAGGAGCTAGGACGTCACGGCATGACACAGCAGCCCTATATCCACCACTGGACCGGACTGAATATGAGTGGGAGTTCCCACTGCAACCTGGAGAGTCAGAATTTGAGAATTATGGCCCAAGCTCTGCTTCCCTTCTTTCTAAACAAACTCCCAAATAAAGGCTATGCTAACCATCTTTGTCCTATGTACATTTCTCCCAATATATTCCAAAGCACCCAGCAGAGCCGAGGGCACAACACTTCACAGGAGCAAAGAGTGCCAGGGCTGTTGACAGTGGTAGGTTTTGATCAGCCGTATAGGCTGATGGTTCAGGGAAGCACTAATAAGCATGTCAGGTGCTCCAGACTCTACTTGGTAGTTTCCTCTTCTACAACTTTTGTTCCTTCCTGTTGGGTGAGCCAACCTTGAGCTTCCTCCCCAGCTTATCTCTAGTGGAGAGTACAGGGAACATTGGACTGGAAGTCAAAGTCCACCAACTGGTTGGCAAGGCATTTTCTCAAAGGTAAGTGAAGAGTTTGGGACCGTCTGTGGTTTCTAGGATTTAGTATACACCAGTCTTTAATCTCATAAATGTCATGGACTTCCCCCTCTCCCCTTCCCCAACATAACAGAGTTTGTACTTTTACTGATTCAGTCTACACATAAGGCTTGATGTACCTGTGGATCAAGGGCCTCTTCGGGGTTCTTGAGATGTTTCCGTAAGTATCTCTTAGCTGAATTTGTCTAGGACCTTAACATTGCCTAGGCCCCGGATTACCCTAGTTTTAGCCTGCCTATGTCATTCCCTCAGAAAATCATCTCTTGTCCCTCACAAAAGAGAAAACAGGTGAGACCCTCAAAGTCTCACTGTCAAGGGCAAAAGTTAATCAGAAAAGTTAACTAACGTATTTGAAAATCTAGATGATTGATTACCTGGCATATCATCAGTATTCAATGAATGTTAGTCTTATACCTCAAGTTAATTTGTGACTGGCCTTTTGTTATCTTGGGAGGAGAGATTCGGGCATTATTAATTTATCTGTTACTCTGGGTTGTACTTTTTTCCTTTCTTCTTTTAGTGAAACATCCTTGTTAAAAGTTCCAACCTTGCTTCAGCCAGACTAATGGAGAAATATGATTTCCCACTCCCGGGCGACGGGGGGTAGGGACTTCGGGTCCTAAGTGGCCATGCTGTGTAGACCCCGGGGCCAGGAAACTTGTGAGTAGCTCTGGACCCCTGCCCGCCCACCAACATCATGCACACCAAGGATGCACAACATTTCCTGGTGGTCAGTGCCACGGTCTTGCCCATCTTCCTTCGACCCCCACCCCACTGGGTAAATATTTACAGTGTGAATCTCACTCTCCCGGGCCCTCACTGCTTGGGCTGTTGGCGCTCTTCCCACCCTGACTGGCTCTATTAACGGCGCGCGGCTTCCACTCCGGGGGATCCCAGTCCCAAACCCAGGTCCCCCAGCGCGCATGTTGCTCCCCTCCCGGGTCTCGCCTCGCGGGCCGCAGATCCCACGGGACTGCAGAAGTCGTGCCTGCGCTTGGCCCCGTGGACTCGCGTTAGGAGGGGGAACCCGGACCGAGGGGGCGTGGTCAGGGCCCACGTTGGCCCCGCCCACTCACGTCGGGTATAAAGCCCCGCCCTTTCGCGCTCCACCTCGCGTCCCAGAGGTACCGAAACAGCACCACCATGTCCTCGTCTAAGTCCGCTATGGTTCTGGGTTACTGGGATATTCGCGGGGTGAGTGCCCTCTGGACGGCGATGGTCAGGGAGATGGACGCAGAGACGGCTGGGGTCTCAGGGCCAACGGTGTCCCCGAGAAGGGGCTCTCTTCGGAGCCCAGCCTCCCTCGCTGCGACGCGCCATCCCCGCCAACCTCCCAGCCGCCCAGGCCGACCCCTGCCCCTCCCCTGGGGTCCCGGGCCCCGCGGAGAGGGGCTGAGGACGGCCAGCTGCCGGGGCTGGTCCCGGGCGTGCCTTAACGACCATCAAGGCGGGATGCAGGGCTTCGGGTGGGGGACGTTGGCGGGCTGCGGTTGGGGTCGGTGGGAGCTGCGCAGGCGCCGACCCGGGGCTGTCTTCCCCAGCTGGCCCACGCCATCCGCCTGCTCCTGGAGTTCACGGGGACCTCGTACGAGGAGAAACGGTACATCTGCGGGGGAGGTAAGGCCGCTCTGGGTGCCGTGTGCCGCCGCGCTCGGCCAGGCGGGCCCTCCACAGTCCCTGTCGTCTTGTGTCCCGAAGTGGCATCACTCCAGAGTGGGGTGGGACTAGTGTCAGGTCACCTGGAAGCTCTTATCCAGAGCTGGGATTCTTCCTCTGCCCAACCCAGTCTTAACGCTTAATTTAATCGGTTCCAGAAATTAAATGGTTCAGTATTGGGGGCCTGGGAATGTGAGTTATCTAGACTATGTTATTTCTTTAGATCTTTCCACTGGCCTCAGGTGGGATATTAAGGAGGTTGGGTCCCGCTTCATTCTCTCTCTTACAGCTCCTGACTATGATAGAAGCCAATGGCTGGATGTGAAATTCAAGCTAGACCTGGACTTTCCTAACGTAGGTGGTTTAAGAGAAGGGGGCAAAAGGGAAGGCTGTCATGTCTATCTTTGCTTCTTCCCTCTCTGGTCTAGAGGGAATCTAGAATAACGGCTCTCAACCAGGATAGAATAAATAAAATTCAGGGGTTCTTGATCTTGAATGGAGAACGATTTATTTTTATTTCCATTAATCACTAACTACAAGTTAGCAGCTCCTTCTATTGTGAGTATAGGCAATAAGTGGCACTAGTTTTTAGCCATGTCTGTGACTTTGTCACTAGTAGAAATCAGATATTTTCATATTCTATTGGATATGTTGTAGATATTATAAATAAATATTTACATTCTTCATGCTTTGAAATTGTGGTAGTTATTCCACCTGCTTCTTATTTAATTCACTAATAGACACATATTACTCTGTTACAACTTTGTTTCTTAATGTTTCTATAAATTGTGTAAATATATGTAATTTGCTTAATGCATTTAAAAAACTATTCTGCAAAAGGGTGCAAGAGGCGTGCGCGTGCGGGCGGGCACGCGCGCACACACACACACACACACACAGAGATTAAGAACCCTTGTCTAAATTCAGGTAGGGACCCAATCACTACCTTCTACTTACTTGCTTCTTCCTCCTAACACAGCATCTTCCCTGCAAGTCTCATCTTCCCAGGAGACAGAGTCAGGTTGTTCATTTGTCCTTTTATTTCCAGCTGCCCTACCTCATGGACGGTAAGAATAAGATCACCCAGAGCAACGCCATCTTGCGCTACATTGCTCGCAAGCACAATATGTGTGAGTAGGGTAGGGTCGGCGAGGGAGAAGGCTGGTGCTCACCTGGGAGTGGATATGCCAAGAGTGATTTCTTGTTGTTTGGCCTACAGGTGGCGACACTGAAGAAGAAAAGATTCGAGTGGACATCATGGAGAACCAGATCATGGATTTCCGCCTGCAACTGGCTCGACTCTGCTACAACTCTGACCATGTGAGTTTCCTCAGCAGGCAGGCAGGCACCAGGAAAGGAGCTTTCAGGAACCTAAGGTTAATTCTCCATTCTGTTGCTGCTACCTCCCCAACCCAATCTGTCAGAATAGAGAACAGAACTCCTATTTGGTGGGGGTTTGTTTGTCGTATAACTCTGGTGTTGGCGTCTCTTCCTTTCCAAACCCCTCCCTTCCATCCTGCCATCCCCACCGAAGGCAGTGAGAGAGGAACGCACCTGGAGAAGGCACCGCTGAGCGTCCACCCCTGGCCCCGGCCCTGATAGCTATGAGTACAGTGACAGCTGTTCTCACTCTCTCCCAGGAAAAATTGAAGCCTCAGTACTTGGACCAGCTACCTGGACAACTGAAACAATTCTCCTTGTTCCTGGGGAAATTCTCATGGTTTGCAGGGGAAAAGGTACAAAGAAAGGAAAGGGAGAAGATACTTTTATCTCTGTGGTGCTGATGAACTCCCCAGACCTCACCATCTTAATTGTCCCTCTAGCTCACCTTTGTGGATTTCCTCACCTACGATGTCTTAGATCAGAACCGTATGTTTGAGCCCAAGTGCCTGGATGAATTTCCAAATCTGAAGGCTTTCATGTGCCGTTTTGAGGTGATGGATGCTCCCTGCACCTTTCTCTTACAAAACACTCAGACTCCCCTGGGCCCCAAGGGACCTCACTGTGATAGATTCTTGCCCAACACCAGCTTTTGACTAAAGGGATCAATGGTTGGGTACCTCCAGACCTTTAAGTCTTGGGAAGGGCCTGGCTTCTATATCCTGCAGTCATTGTCTACAAGAAATGGTGGGGGTGCCTGGCCGGTGCGGTTCAGTGGTTGAGCGTAGACTCATGCACTAAGAGGTCACCAGTTCGATTCCTGGTCAGGGCACATGCCCAGGTTGTGGGCCAAATCCCTAGTGTGGGGCATGCAGGAGGTGGCCAATCGATGTTCTCTCTCATCGATGTTTCTATCTCTGTCTCCCTCTCCCTTCTTCTCTAATTCAATAAAGAAAAAAAAATTTTAAAAAGAAAAGAAAGAAAGGGTGGGGAGGACAGGCAGCATGTGAGTGTCACTGGTTTGAAATGGGTCTGTTGGGCTGCGCTAGTCTTACAAGGTCTGGTGTGCTTTCCCTTCAGGCTTTGGAGAAGATTGCTGCCTACATGCAGTCTGACCGCTTCTTCAAGATGCCCATAAACAACAAGATGGCCCAGTGGGGCAACAAGAGA